AGGGGAATAGGTCTGGGGATGTTTGGAGCGTTGAGATGGTGCACGTTTAGCACTTTATTCACATGTTTTTAAACAACATGCTGCAACACAGCTGCACTGAAAAGTATCCAGAGAAGCCTGAAGCTGAAAACTTGTTAAAAGTATTTTAACAGCTGTTCAGTTACTTTAAAGAGGCGGTAATCTGCAGATTTTCATAATCTTGTTCAGAGGTTGTACCAGAACAAGTTTACATGGTTATATTTTTGTCATCCTGCACATTGCTGCAGCTCCTCCTTTTCGCCGCCGTTTCCTGTGTTGTCCGGTGAGTTCAGAGCGTATCGGCCTTAAAAAACATTCCCAGCATTCCTCCTGCTGCTGCCTGGTGACATCACAGCCTCCCTGTGAGGCGGCAGAGAGGATCTGTTTATTTAATCTGACTCAGACTTGCCAGGGAATTTTGGAACTGCCTGAAAAAAGCATTTTCACTTTTTGGTTGTTTTGACAGGTAGAGTCACTGGTGCAGGTGTGGGTGAAGCATTTCATCTGTCGTAGCAGTTCTTAGTGGCTTTGTACTGTCGTCGTCGGGGTAGCGGCGTTTGAACCGGATCTCGCTCCTGTGCTGGTATCTCAGCTGGTTCAGGTCTGTTGGAGATAATGAACGGACAAGGTGTCGATAATGTCACATCGTCAAAACAACAATCAAGATACCATCATGTTTGATGCATATCGCACACCGCCAGCTGACGTTTCTCTCAGGAACACGTCACAGAAACGTGACCTTTTTATTTAGAAATGTATTTTCTTGTTTGACACTAGACGTTGCTTCATTAAGGTAGACAAAGTAGATGTCGGCATGCAGGTCTGTATCTGTGACTGGTTGGTTAGGCTGAAACTCTCCCAGGTGTGTCAGTGTTCAGGAAACCTGCGTGCTCCAGCAGAAACAGTTGAGACCAGCGCAATGTGACGTCATGTGGCGGCGCTCCGTGTCGGCCAATCGCGCTCGTGGAAGCGTTTATTCCTGGTAGGCCATTTTGTGTAGAAGATATCGTCTCACCCGTTCCAGCTAAGGCTGATGGGAGAGCGTCACGTTCACGCTGCTGCTCAGTGAGTAACTTTAACAGACCGTCTCCTCGCCGACGTTTGGACAGTAAACTAATCAGCCAGATGTGAGCGCCCAGATGTTCAGCTGCCTCCTCAGTCTGCTGGGATGTGGTTTTCAAAGTCAGAGTAAGTGAGGCTGAAAGTGATTTGTTCAGAACAGAACTGAATTACGAGGAGGGGAACAAGTGAGACAGGCTGGGTGGGTTAGTCCGCCTCGTGTTGCTGGTGGCGGCGATGAGACGCCGGATATCAACAACCTCTCAGCTTCGTCTCCGAGCTCTGCGTCTACTCTCAGGCGTCATTTTCATCCAAGGCTCAGCAACCTGGCGCGAAAATGACCCGGAAACCTCAAGAGACAGATGAAACAGTCCAGAGACGTCCAGGAATTAGTCTCAGCCGGTTGGTGCAGGGACGATGCAGTGTGGAGCAGCAGGACAGCGTACAATTTAAACCGGAGCTTAAGGACGATATCGATGTTTGAGTTTAAAATTCTGACAATGATACATAAGCACTCTGTGTATTAGTTAAACTCTAACAGCTGGTTGATGGCACACACAAAGATATGTTCTTATCTAAGTGTTTATTAATGTGCAGGATTTGCAACACTTGCCCTATGAAGACGTTTTATATTGTTAAATCAGGATCATTCTCTCTGCTGGTCTCCGGTCTGCACTGGATCCTCAGTCTGACTGCGTCCCAGTTTGTTTGAAGGTCACCGCGGTGTCTCTGTCAGGGGAGACTCTGGTGAATCCGCCGAAACGATTGATTGAGCCGAGCCGTGACCGAGCCTCCTCCTAATCAATAACTCGTTAACAGCAGCAGCAGCAGGAAGACGGAGGTAAAGCCCTGAGAGGACTGAAGATCACGGACGCCCCCCAGATCAACAATAACAGCAGAACCGTGAAGTGTGTGTGTGATATTTAAACACGAGATGATAGATTATGTATTTGTGGTGAAACCTCAGAAACACCTGAGTCATCTGCAAAAACAAGAACTCCTTTAACATTCACACCGATATCCAAAGGTCTGTGGATTAATCACACCTGCCTCGTCTGTGCAGCTCAGAGCTGCCAGTCCAATTAAATAAAACATCATTCAACAGGCTTCAGTCTCTGAAGTCCCACAGCGCACGAAACCTCGTCGGATTTCAGGCAGAGAAATAAAAACGCTGTCTGGTCTGGTCAGTCGTGACCACAGACGCTATAAAATAAGCGGACGTAGCCGACGCGACGGCCCGCGTTTGGCGTCTAGGTTTTTTGGAACCAGGCGTGACCATGTTTGGATGAGAGGGTGGAGCTGGGGAGGGATACACATCTGCTATGCCTGACAGATCGCCATGGTAGCGACTTGTCAATCAGCTTGTAGCCCCGCCCTAAAGCCTAGACTTTTGTCTCTTAGTGAAGCTAAGCCAAACTTTGGAGCGTCTGCTGCGGTCCGCCACGGTCCAGGACCGGAAACAGAAGGATTCTCTCTTCACGCTTTGTTGATGGAACACATGAGGTGACGTCAGGTCGGCGTAGCAGCTGCTGGCAGATAAGAGACACTCTGATGGCTGCAGTTCAGTCAGGAGCTGAGACATGCGGGAAGTTAGGAACCGAGGAGCAGAATCCGAACGCACGGGTCTTAACAAGTCCACGGTTCTTGGAAATTTGGTTCCAGTTTCACCTTATTAATACCTACATACTTTGAGAGTAAAAAGGTGAAATGTATATTCATTGGACGCAAAGAAACACAAGAGCCGCCGCTTCTCCAAACTCTTCTGAGGGAACCAGTCCTCGAATGGTCTTCACTCAGCAAAGCTTCCTTTATCTTATCAATGATCTGTGGAGGAGATACGTACAGAGAGCTTATTAACCAGACAACAGAGTAGAAAATGTTATCACGATAAAAAGTTTCCATATCAATAATTATCACGCTAAGTTTCAAAACGTTATTTCTTTCTGGTTTAAAGGCTGATTTTTGTTCCTGGGTGAAAGTTAATTGTGGTTTAAACTGTTCTTTTGGTCAGAACAAACACTTGATGCCAAACAGCAGATCCAAACAAATCTGAGGCAGAACATTCAGAACTATCCTGATAAATCTGTCAACAAATATGTAAAT